TTTCCTTACAAACAGCTGCAAACCTGCTTGTGCCCCACCCTGGCTTTTGTTACGAGCAGTGACTTTCAGAATGTTTTGTCGGTTGATGCTTAGTTACGCAGGCTTGACCTCAGTCGAGGCAAACTGTGTGACCCTTTGCATGGAGAACTTTTTGTGTGTGTGGCAGCATGAAGCAGGGAGAGTCACGGGAAATTCCTCACCCTAACAGGTTAGGAGCTGACGGAGGTGACTGGGCAGCACAGGCAGTGGCAGCTCCTCTGACAAGCTCGGGCCAGGAAGGTTCTGCTTAATTGCAAGTGCAGTAACCTTTGGCGCAGCCCTGGTGAGAGCCCTTGCCAGCAAAGCACGTTGGTGAAAGCTTGCTGCTTCATGCAGCCCAGGAGGAGGCAGAGCAGACAGAGCAGTAAGCTCTGAACAAGCGAGGAGGCCACCCCGCCGGGTCCGGTGGATTGGTCATCATGAGTTGCACTGCGCCTGCCCCTTGAGGACACTGTCTGGCACAGAAAGAGCAGAGCTGGTTTCTAGAAAGACCAGAGCGAAGGCGGGGCTCAAGGCTGTTAGGTTTTGCAGGACCATGTTTGGTAAAGTGGAGAGAGGGAGGGAATGAATGAACCTAACTCAGGAACTCTGGCTGTTACAAAGCAGAGAGTTACCAAGGGCCTGAGGAGCAGGGATGTTTCTGAAAGGCATTTAAACAGCCTCAGGTCTCTCCTAACGGGAGGGTGCCTGGGGGTCAGGGAGGAGGTGACACTGTCGCTGTCGAAGGGGTGTCAGTGAGGGAACTTCTACTGAAGGAAGAACTTTGCCTTGTGTGGGGGCGTACAGAAAGCTGGGTAGATGCAAGGAAGTTCATGGGTGTGGTTATAGGGTTTGAAACATTTTCCATCTCAAGATAGTAATTGTCTGAATTTTCCGTGAACTAGGGGAAAGAGTCATGTGGTGAGAGGGAGTGGGGGGAGGAAAGGATTCAGCGCGGGAGGTGAGCACTGAGGAGAAGGGAGAGCTTGAAAAGCCTTGAGGAGGAGAGGACACAGCTGGTCAAAGCAGCACAGCCGGGCATCATCCATCTGCATCTGTGTGGCGTGTGGGGCGCGCTGAGCCAGTCGGTTAAGTGCCAGGGAGGAGGGAGGGGAGGGTGCCGCCAGGGTGGGAGTCCGCCGTGTGGATGTGACGGGAACGATGAGGCCGGGAACCTGGGAGCGTGGGGAAGAAGCAAAGGCGGAGGCGCCTGGGAACGGGAAGAAAAAGCAGCATTAAGGAGCCCAGCCATTGAAGAGCTATTGGCAGGAAGAATTGTCAGAGCTAGAAAACCGTTCCGGAGGTGCCGCCACATGTGGGTGTGGTGAAGGCCTCGAGCCGAGGCCAGGGAGGGGTGGGCCAGCAGGTGAATGCTGGGGGCGCCTCACACACCACGAGCGGGCCGCCGCAGCCCGCTGAGTGCGGGAGTCTGGCTCAGCTGGCGACGGCTCTCAGAGCAGCCCGGCGTGGGGGCGGTGGAAAGGGGGGCACGGGTTCTGGCTTCTCACCGGCCCTCCCTCCTCCAGATTGACGTGCACCTCCACGATGCCCTGGGCCGGCCCCATCAGTGCGGGACGATCCAGCTGGACTTCCAGCTGCCCCTGAGGTTCGACCTCCAGTACAAGGGGTACGAGCCTCGGCCGGACCAGTTCCCTCTCCGCGCGGCTGCCCCTGGGATCACTGGAGAACAGCTTCCCCTTCCCCCTTTGGCCCCAAAAGGACCCAAACCCTGCACACCCTCCCTGCTGAGCCTGAGTATTTCTAAGAACTGGCAGGTGATCTGGGTTACACAATCTGTGCTACTTCCTCCATCCCACCCCCTTTTCTTTTCCCTCTAAGGCGAGCCGGGGCCCCGGAGCGGCCAGTCCTCATTCACCGTGCAGTGCTGGGTTCGGTGGAGAGAATGCTGGGAGTGCTGGCAGAGAGCTGTGGGGGGAGATGGTGAGACCCCCGACTTCCGTTCTGAGCTCAGACAGTACGGTGCAGGCCCCAGACCCTGCCCCCTTCAGACTCCAGCTTGTTTCCTTCCCAGGCTGCTCGCTGCAGCCGCCCTCCGGGTCGGAGCAAGAATAAGGAGTTTGCCCTCCCCTGTTCTCTCCCAACTAGGCCCCTGTGGCTGTCCCCGTTCCAGGTGCTGGTCCTCCCAGTGGGGGCTGAGCAAGAAGACTACGCCCGGGAGGTGAGGACTGGGGGCAAGGACAGGGCCGAGCACGCGCACAGGAGGGGAGGGGGGCCACAGCGCTCGGAGGCTGCTGGCCTCTGTGCTGGAATTCAATCTGAGAAACACTGGTCCCTCCTGCTGGAGAGGTGACAGCTAACACACATGAAGGCTGACGCCAGCACAGAAAGCGGTTGGGTGCATGGTGCTTTTCCTTTGCTTTCTCGCGAGAAGTAAGGTCATGGCTGTCCCCGAGTCAGCAGCTGGCTGGGCGGAGTGGAGCCAGAAGAGGCAGCCAGGGGGCCTGTGCAGGCCGGGCTCCCGCAGGAGGCGCACACAGGCTGCGGGGCGAGGGCGGGCCTCCATGTGGAGACAGGGAGGAGGGGGGTCCGAAAGCCTTGAGGCAGAGGAAGGAGGAACAGTGGGGCTTTGGTACCAGCCTTCCGTTAAATTAAGTCCCATCACCAAACCCCTGCCCAGGTTCAGCAGAGCCTGCAGGCGGGGGGCCTGGTCGGAGACCTGGACGCTGACTCTACTCAGACCCTCAGCCGGAGAGTCCGCGCGGCCCAGCTCGCCAACTACAATTTTCAGTTTGGTGAGTGCTCAAGCACCCGCCCCGTGCACTGTCCTCCTCTTTATTAAGTTTGGCTTATTTGGGGCTCAGTTCTGAGCTGGACAGGAGCCAGGATGCCTGCGCCATTTGGACCATAGTTTTCTTCACCCCAACAGCTACTTCTGACCCACAGAACAGTGTTCTGCTGACCCTTCCCAGCTGTCCGGCAGGTTAATTCACCAAGGGAGTGAGAGAAAGGGACAGGAAGGGTTAATAGGCCTAATTAGCTAGCTTTGTTTATTCTAGACCTAGTGGAGTCAGCCCTCCTGCATGAGGAGAAAGGCCTTACGGAGAGAGTGTAGCTCTGCCTGTTCCTTTTTCTTTTTCCAATGAAAGCCAGGAACAGAGAGTCCTCCGCCAGATAGAGCCGATTCTCTAGCTCCACACACCGCCTCGTGCTGCCAGCGCTCGGAGCGAGCTGCCCACAGCCCAGGGGCTCGCCGAGCCTTCCCCCGCTGCCACCTGCCCTTTCTCAGACATTCTCTGGTCAGCTGACCTCTGTCCTCCTCTGGCTGACCCCACTGTCTCTGACCCCGGGCTCCGGCCTGAAACAGCTCCTTATCTCCTCAGCACGAGCAGGGAGCTGAAGAGCAAGAGCCAGTAATATAGTGGGCCCTGCACCATATCGTGGCTTTGTTGTCACCTTTCTGAAGACTTAGGTTAGGTCTCTTCCATTTCTGCAAAGGGAGACACCCCAGGTGGGTTACATCTGCCCTGAGGTATTCCCCCTTCTGCTTGCAGTGGTTGGGCAGAAAGAGCAGAGCAACAGAACAGTGAACGTTCGGACTCGAGACAATCGTCGGCTTGGAGAACGGGACTTGACGGCGGCTGTGGGGCGGCTGCTGGAGCTGCAGAACGCCAGGGTCCCAAACGCCGAGGAAATGTTCTGAGCGTTTGATAGGAATGTGGCAGGCCTGCAGGAGCCACCAGCCTCTCTGAACTCGGGAGGGGCCGACCTCATGGACAGTCTGGAGTCCCAGGCCCTTTAGAACTGTGTGGAAGCCTGAAAGCACTCTCCGGAAAGAGACTGATGTGGGGGAAGCCACAGCTGCTTGCATGGAGGAGAGCGGAGCTAACCATAATAAACCTGGAGCTCTGGTGTCTCATCTCTGACTCCTGGTGGGGGATAACGAGGGTTTGACTCCCAGGGGATGGGGAACTGAGGAGGGACAGCCCAGCCCTGGCTGGTTGGAGCATCATCCTGTGCACCAGAAGGTGGTGGGTTGGACTCCTGGTCAGGGCACATACCCATGTCGCAGGTTCGATCCCGGGTTGGGGTGCATGCAGGAGGCAACCATTTCTCACATTAATGTTTCCCTCTAAAAATCAATAAACTAGAAAAGAAAAAATAAGGGACAACCAAGGCCCTGGCCAGTTAGCTCGGTTAGAGTGCTATCCTGATTCACCAAGGTTGCAGGTTCAGTCACTGGTAGGACACATAACAAGAATCAATGAATGAGTCCTAGCTGGTTTTGCTCAGTGGATAGAGCATCGGCCCTAAGACTGAAAGGTCAGGGTTCAATTCCAGTCAAGGGCATGTGCCATGGCTGCAGGTTCCCCGGCTCATCAGGATGTTGTCTCTCACATCGATGTTCTCTCTGTCCCGCTTCCTTCCACTCTTAAAAAAAGCAATGGAAAAATATCCTCGGTGAGGATTAACAAAAATAAATCAATCAATGCATAGACAAGTGGAACAAAAAAATACCTCCCTCTCTCTAAAACCAATAAAAGAAAAAAGTTAATAAAAAGGGCAGCCCAGGCCTCTCACTGGTTAGGGAGCCCCAAGGGTAGGTGTCCTGTTCCCACTCAACTCCTTAGTCCCATTTCCCCAGCCCCAACTCAGCAGTTCCCTTCTCCACCTGCAAAAGGAGAAACTGAGGCACAAAAGAAACTTGCAAACTTCGTGGGGTCATAAAAATGTTCCCCTCTCATCACCCCCATTCTTCTCAAGCCTCTCAGGATGCCTCAGGGTGAGTCTGGGAGGAGTGGCTGCCAGAGGGGGAGCAGCTGGGACTGAGTCATGGCAGGAAGCTGCGGAGGGCGGGAGCTATTCCCACATTGCCATATAAAAGGAAGGCAGCCGGCCTGAAGTTCACTACCGCAGTGGCAGCAACCAGAGGAGCAAGTTCCCAGCAGCCGGCCTTCTGATTCAGACCTACTTGAGGAGAATTACCTCCTGGGTGGCCGCTGGCCAGTCCTTGCCCCAGGACCATGCTCAGAGCAGCCTTGGTCTTGGCCTGTTTGGCTGTTACTTCCATAGCCTCTGAAGGAGGTGAGTTGGGGTTGGAGTCAGCCCTTGGGAAGGGGTCCTGGCCAGCGTGGGCCTGGGCCTGAGTCCAGCCATCCTAGTGGCTCCTTACCAGCAGGTTGGTTCTCTGTTGAGCAGCCCAAGGTGGGCTCAGAGCGCAGGAGGGGCTGCTAGAGAGGCTGCTGCTAGGGACTGTGCCTAGTGGTTGCTAGGGACTGTGCCTAGTGGTTGCTTGCCAAGAAATGCAAACTTGGAGTCAAAGGCCAACTGGGGCGGGGGTGGGGAGGCCGACTCACTGAGGGAGGCCTCTGCCTGAGGGAGATGTATGTGGGACCAATTAGGCAGCAGAAGGTGGAAGAAGGGCCCCCAGGCAGCTCGAAACCAATTTGCTGACCTAGTCTGACTACCTCCCTGCCTGGTTGGGAGGAGAGTTGACAGGGTGCCCGTGCACAGGGGCCTGGACACAGCCACCTTCCAGCACACACACTTGACCTGCTGGATGCTGAGGAAAACGCTCCCGAGGGAAGCTGTGGAGAGCATTCACAGCTCTAGTCCATCTGCCCAAGGCCCTCTCGCTGCCCCTAGCCTCCTGCCCCAGGTCAGCTACAGGCGATTCCTTTCCCTGTGGCTGAGGGCTTTGCCTTAGTCCTGAGTCCTGTCCCGTGTCTCCCCCACCCCGTCCTCAGCCGAGACCTAAGCTAAGGAGGACCTGGTAGTAGCTACAGGAGAAGGAAGCTTACGTTTCTGGGCAGCTTCTTGTCAGAAGGCCCTGGAATAGGAGGGTCGGCGGAGGAAAGGGACAGGCGAGGCTCCAATCAGTTCAAGGTCAGACCTTCCCTTCTGAGTACTGGGGAAGCACCCCAGCGGAGCGGCTGTGGCCCTGAGGGAGTGACCTGACAGGAGACGGGACCTTCCTCCCAGCCCCGTCTGTCCCGTTCTCTGTAGGCCCAGGCGTGGGGGCCCCTAGGCTGTGAGTCTGGTAGGGGTGAGGCTGTCAGAGTGTCGCAGGCTTGCTCAGAGCCCACTGTGTTTGGGGAGTGGGTTAGGGGACACGGGGCAGGAGCAATGAGGAGGGGCTGCTGGTGGCTTCGTCCTCTTTCCTACGCTCCTGTTCGCTCCTGCCTCCCGCGCTCAGAGGCCTCTCAACCACCCTGACTCACCCTTCCTCTCTCCAGGCCTCAAACCTTCCAGTCAGAGGGAGTTGGGGCCAGAGCAACTTCAAGAAGGTAAGCGTTTGGGGGAGTGGCATGGGATTGGGGGTCACGTAGGAACTGTAGGCTCTGACTGTCTCCCTTCTTGCCTCTAGTTGGCTATGCAGCACCTCCTTCCCCACCCCTGAAACAAGCCAGGGACCACCGTGACACCTCTCTGGAACACTTTGAGGAACAGAGTGAAGGTAAGTGCACCCGTTCCCTGTGTCTGCGGGGGGGAGGGGAGAGCAGGCCTGGCCCTGGCTCCTCACCTGGCTCCTCACACCCTTCCCTTTTGCAGTGCAGTCCTTTTCCTCCTTCTTTGACCAGATCCTTTTGGAGAGTGGTGAGTGCTTGGAGTTCCCTCGCCCCCAGCCCACTATCACCCTAGCTGGCATCAGGCTAGTCCTTGCTCCTTTGTGTCCTCTCCTCAGAATTCTTCTCTCTGGACAAGGACCTCCCTATCCCCGAGGACTCCCCTGCCCCTGGGAAAGTGGTCCAAGAAGAAGTGAACCCTCCCCAGGGCCCTATTGAACAGAAGGAGGGTAAGTGACTCCCTCTTCTCTAACCTTCTGCCTGCCCCAGCTTTGGGGGCTGAGCCACTGACCAGCTGTGTAAATGTGGGTAAGTCACCTTGCCAAGCCTTCCTTCGTTGGCTGTCACATTGGGGAAATGATACCCGCTTTATAAAGCCGGAGATCAACTGGCATGAGGATAGACCCTGTTTTCACCTGCTTCTCTATCGAACCACTCTCTCTGAGTGGGGTCTGGCCAGGCCCCCCTCTTTCAGAGAGAGCCTTCCCAATGTGACCTTTGCTTACGCGTCTTCTTCCACCTCAGTAGACACATCACAGCTCCCAACACAGCAGGAGAGCACCAGCCCACCTGAGCAGGGAGCAGGTGAGTGGCAGGTCTGGTCCGCAGGCCCCTGCAGAGGGGGGCGGGGAGCCTGGGCCTGGGGACGCAGTGCAGGCAGCAGGCCTGACTCAGGGGGACAATAATGGCGACACCTCTCATGCCTCAGTTCTCTTTTCCTTTCACCTATTCAGTCTGAAAGTAAGAGCCACAAATTCCTTTCTTCCTCTTCTCCATATCCTCCCAGTCCTTTCCCCTCAGCCCCAGGTTCTCTCAGTCCCCCCGACTCACCCAGCCTTCCTCTCCCCCTCCACCCGTTTCCCCGACTTTAGGAAAGCCAGCTCCCCTCACCCAGCAAGGCCCAGGCCAGCACTGCCAACAGGGCCGACCCCAAGGCGGCTGGAGCCACCAGCTGGATGGCTTCCCCCCTGGGCGGCCTTCTCCGGACAACCTAGACCAGATCTGCCTTCCGACGCGCCAACATGTGGTGTACGGCCCTTGGAACCTGCCCCAGTCTGGCTACTCCCACCTCAGTCGCCAGGGTGAGACCCTCAATATGCTGGAGACGGGATATTCCCGCTGCTGCCGCTGTCACTACTATGCAAAGCGCATGGATTGTGCAAAACTTGTGGTAAGGCTCGGGCTTTTAGTCCTAGGGTGTCCTTTAAACCTCAGACATAGTGTGTGTGTGTGTGTGTGTGTGTGTGTGTGTGAGTGTGAGTGTGTATGAGTGTGTGTGTGTGAGAGATGTGTGTGTGAGGTGCGTGTGTGAGATATGTGTGTGTGTGTGAGAGATGTGTGTGTGAGGTGCGTGTGTGAGATATGTGTGTGTGTGTGAGTGTGAGTGTGTGAATGTGAGGTGTGTGTGAGATATGTGTGTGTGTGTGTGTGTGTGTGTGTGTGTGTGTGTGTGTGTGTAGGATGGAGGCCAAGGCCTGGGTGTGCAGAAACCTCACTGATCCTATCTTGGAGAGCAGAGACCGTCTCTGTGCTTTCCGACCTCACTGCCCAGAGCCCTCCCCGGAGCCTGGGAGGAAGACAGGAGTGTGGACGGGGCCGGAGGCTGACCCGCCCTTCTTCTCTAGTGGGAGGACGCAATGAACCAGTTCTGTGAGGCCGAGTTTTCTATCAAGACCCGACCCCACTCGTGCTGCAAACAGCAGGGGGAGGCTCGGTTCTCCTGCTTCCAGGAGGAAGCTTCCCAGCCGCACTACAGGCTCCAGGCCTGCTCCAGCCACCAGTCTGTGATATCCATGGGCCTGGAGCTGCCTTTCCCCCCTGCGATGCCCATCCTGGACAATATCAAGTACATCTGCCTCGCAAGACGCTTCCGCTCGGTGCCACGCAACCTCCCACCCACTGACCAGCTCCAGAGGCAGCTGCGGGCGCTGAGCCGCCTGGAGCTGGAGTTCCAGCGCTGCTGCCGGCAGGGGAGTAACCACACCTGTGCCTGGAAGGCTGTAAGTGGGCGTCCCGGCCCCCGGAGAGCCAGTCTGCCTGTCCGCCGCCTCTGGCCTCTGATCCTCCACGTGCCTCCCCGCTGTGAACGCGTTTACCCGCCTGTCTGCTTGTGAATGTCCGTCCATCCACTGTTCGTCACCTGAGTCTGTTCATCTTGAGCCTCCATCCTGCACTCCTGGCCTGGTCCACCCATGATCCCACACGTGTACCTGTCTGCCATCCGTCCGTCCGTCCATCCATCCATCCATCCACCCAGCTCTAGCCTCACCCAGCCCTCCCCGTCTACTGGTCCAGCTCACCTTCTGTGGCCAGCTCCGAGCCTCACCTGTGCTTCTCCCCCACCTCCCCCACCTCACACACCACAGCTGCCTCCCTGCCCCCTGGCTCTTTGTCCTTCCCTCTGGCACTGGGGTGGGGAGTCCCTCTCCCTATGGTGTGGGCAACAAGGGAAGTGGAGGGTGAGGGGAGAAGGGGAGAAGAGTCCAGGCTTCTGACTTCCCTCTTTCTGTCTCAGTGGGAGGAGTCCCTCGATGGCTACTGTGAGCGAGAACTGGCTATAAAGACCCACCCCCACTCCTGCTGCCGGCACCCTCCCAGCCCGAAACGCGACGAATGCTTCGCCCAAAAGGCTCCCTTCCCCAAATATGACCGGGATCTCCTGACCGTTGACCTCAGCCGAGTCACCCCCAACATCATGTACTATATCTGTGGAAACCAGAGAGTTATCTCCAAGCAGTAAGTCTTGTACAATTCCAACTCTCTTCCCTTCCCAAAATCTCCTTTTGGGATATCCTCTGGGGCACTCTTGGCCTGGAGTCTCCTGAAGACCCTGACCCCTGCCCTTTCCCACCACAGTAAGCAGATTCCTGGGCTGATCCGAAACATGACTGACCGCTGCTGTAAGCTGCCCCTTCCAGAGCAAGCCTGCTGTGCCGAGGAGGAGGTGAGCGGGGCAGGGCGGCACCGGCCACGAGGGAATGCAGGGCAGGGGAGGGAGGTGGCTAGACCTGGAGGCTACCCCCACTTTTAGGACCTCAAAACAGACCACAGAAACAATGAGGACTAGGGGGAGGGACCTTTCTTCTTGTTCCAGAAGTTCTCGCTCCTGACCTGACCTGCTCCATTCCTATTAAGCTCCAGCCTTTGCAGATGCACCCATCTGCCCATCTCGGGAAGTCTAGCTGTGCAGGGCAGCCTTGCATCCTCTCTGGGGCCCAGGAAGAGAGCAGTAGGAGCTGAAGGGAGGGCGATTCGGGGCACCCAAGTCTCCATGCCTGGCCTTTGACCACCCCCTCCCTCCCCATCTCTGCTTTCTTTTCTCCCCACACTCCAGAAAACATCCTACATCAGTGACCTGTGTGGCCCCCAGCGTGACTTCTGGCGAGACCCTGCCTTCTGCTGTAAGATGAGTCCTGGGGACGAACAGACCAACTGCTTCAACGTCAACTACCTGAGGAATGTGGCTCTGGTGGCCGGGGACTGGGGGGACGCCAAGGGCCAGGAGAAACAGGACCCGACTCAGGGAACAACTAGCAGCCCCACCTCTGAAGCCAAGGAAAAGTGAGTCACCCCGGAACCTGGAAGGATCAGATTGGGTGAACCACACCCCACCCCGCCCTCCTTGAATACGCATTGCAGTCAACACCTCTGGGATTTGGTGTCCTCGTTGTCTCACGCACAAACACGCCCTCCTAAGCCTGGCTGCTGGCATTTTCTTCAGTGACTGAACCCTGAGGCCCACTGCCCTGCCCTGCCCTCACAGGGCAGAAGTCGAACCATAAATAAATGGCTTAACCTCACTATTTGTCATCTTGAATTTATTCACATATTTTAAAAGGATGGTCACCGTGCTAAATAGCTATCAAGATTCCGAAGTGAAAAAGATGTGGCTCACGTTCTTGGTGAACCCCCAAAATACCGCAGCCCTGCCTGACGCTTAAAGAAAAAAATTTTACATTGATTTCAAAGAGGAATGGAAAGGGAGAATGAAATAAAAAACAGCAATGATGAGAGAGAATCATTGATCCGCTGCCTCCTGCACACGCCACGCTGGGGATCGGACCTGCAACCTAGGCAGGTACCTTGACTGGGAATCAAACCATGACCTTTTGGTTCATAGGTTGACACTCACCCACTGGCCACACCACCCTGACACGTTTTAATCTTCACTTTTGATCTTCAGAGTCCATATTGATTCATTCAATATCCATCTATTGAACTATCAACGTCCAGGTACCTAGCAGGTGTGATAAGCAGTGTGGCACCGAACAGCCAGAGTGCCTGTGTGCATGCCCAGAGGTGGGAGCAGGGCTGCGGGCAATACGGTCACTGCGGAAGCCCTCCGAGCTTCTCCAGCAGCGAAACAGAGGGTGCAAAGGGCAGGTGCCATCAGGCAGAAGGGGCAACTCAAGCACAAGCGCAGAGCTGAAAGGGCCTGACTCTGGGGGTGATCCTGAGATGTGACTGGGAAGATCAGCAGGATTGCCGCCTGAACGCCTCATCCGCGTGCTTTAAAGTGGATCTTGGCACCTGTGCCCTGGAGGGCACCGGTCACAGGCAGAGAATGTGTTCTGATTTTCCTTTTACAAAGTCTAAGTGGCAGCCAGCCAGGCAACTACCTGGGTGGCCAGTTGGGAGCATGTCTGGCCAAAGGCGACAGGAGGGGCTATAGTCGCCAGACCTAACATGGACCACAGGGCGGCGGGACAGCCCCCCCCCCCCCCGAGGCTGCCCCGGGGGAGCCAGAGCTGGAAATATCGGAATTAAGACGAGTGGCGACTCCGCTGTCAAGACAACGGGACTTCACTTCTGACTTCCCAGGTTAAGTCAAAAGTGAACAAGCTGAGCCCTGGCAGCTCCCAAGCAGGCATCACCGCTACCCTCCTCACAGCCTGTTGTTTATTTACTTATTTATATTTTGCCGGGATGCAAGCAGCATCTCAGTGGCTCCTTCCCCAGTCCGTCAGCACGGGAGCCAATGAGCGAGCGAGTTCCGCGTTGGGCCCCACCCCTTCACCAACAGCCCTACTTCCGGGTTATGGTGGACCAGGGCTACGCACGCATCACGCGCCTGAGCGGATATCCGGCGTCGATCCTTCGATCCATCGAGCGCTAGGACCCAGGGACTGGGCACAGGCAGGCGGGGCCTGTACCCCCCTCACCCCCCTTAGTCCCTGCCGGAGTCCTAAGGCGGACCGCTGTCCCTAAGCAGGAGGTTACCTTCTGCCGGGGCGGAGGGGAAGGGACCCGGCCAGCAATAGTAAGCAGCTATGAAACACTATCAGTGCTGCCCTGGCCAGGGTGGCACAGTGGTTGGAGCGATGGCCTGAGCACCGAAGGGTCACGGGTTCAATTCCTGGTCAAGAGCATGTAGCTGGGTTGCAGGGCCAATCCCTGCCTCTTTGGAGGGCCTGTGGGAGGCAACCAACTGATAGGCCTCTCTCACGTGTCCTTGCTCTTCCCCTCCCTTCCTCTTTTCCACTCTCTCTGAAAAGCAAAGAGAGAAATATCCTTGGGTGAGGATTAGCAACAACAACAAACAGAATGTCAGTGCTAACAGGATGTTCGCCTCAGGAGCCCAGTGAAAGGGGTCAGTGAACTATTCCATGGAAGAGCAGCTTTGGAGAGAGCCTGAAAGCGTGGGTAGAAATGCTGTTAGTTCCCAAGGCAGGCGGACGCGTTAGCATGTACTGCAGTTGTGTAGATAAACTATTAAAATATAAACTACTAAAATATGACTAAGTCCAGGGGCGGTGGATAACGGAGTCAGAGTCCCACACTACTTGGAAGCGTCCTGATTGAATTCAGGCCTGAGCAGGATTTTGCTGGGAGGAAAAGGGAGGTGTACAAAGCCCTGTGTGTATACAAAGTTCAGCTACAGTAAAGCAGAATGTCCGCTCTGTATTAGGCAAAGTGCTAAGGATTCTGGCTGTAAGAGACTAAACACCATCCTCAAGGATTTCTAGCTCTGTGGAGGCTCCAATTGTCCCAGCCTGGCTTTCGGGGTGTCTGGGAGGAGGCCATAAAGCAGAAGGTTTGGTTGGTAGATGTGAGAAACCACTAAGCAGTCTAAACGGTGTGGGGGAGTAGATAGGCATCAGGGCGGCAATTTAGACTTCGTCATGCCTGCTGGAAGAGCTTGAAGGACTACAACTCATGCCAGCCTGGCAGTAAGCAGCTGTGAAGGATTGCGAAGGGAAAGTCATGTGAACAGAGACCTCAGGGGTAGCTTAGCTGGTTAGAGCATCATCTGCATACACCGAGCTTGCAGGTTCAATACCCAGGCAGGGCACATAGAAGCATCAACTGATGGCCAATCACAACCCCTCCCTCCCTTCTTCCCTCCCTCAGTCCCTCCTTCCCTCTGTCTCATCAAGAAAATTTTAAAGAAATTTTCAAAGAAAAGTAATGTGGCCAAAACCAGTTTGGCTCAATGGATAGAGCATCAGCTTGGGGACTGAAGGGTCCCGGGTTCGATTCCAGTCAAGGGTATGTACCTTGGTTGCGGGCATATCCCCAGTAGGGGGTGTGCAAGAGGCAGCTGATCGATGACTCTCATCGATGTTTCTAGCTCTCTATTTCTCTCCCTTCCTCTCTGTACAAAATCAATAAAATATATTTTTTAAAAAAGTAATGTGAACATATTATATATATATATATATATATATATATATATATATATATTAATTAAATAGACAGACAGGTGGATAGGAATAGATGAGCTGAAGAGGGTAGAGTCAAAAGACCAGTTCAGAAGTTGAAATTATAATTTTTTAAGTTTAAAAAAATTTTTTTTGGTCAATTTTAGCTCTTTAAACAACGTGTTTCTGTACTGTAGACTAGCAGCCTTTTAGACAGGACACTTAGATACTAGTTCAGCTTGCTCTGGAACTAACTCCTCTGGGTACGTGGGAAGATGTGAAGAAGAAAACACACAACAAGTGAAGTTGTAGAATCTAGGTGGTAAGTATGTGCTGTACAATCATTCATCTTTTCTACATTTTTGAAGATTTTCATACAATATCAAGAAAAGGAGCTCATCATTTCTACCCTCCAACTGTTCGTCCCCTGGTGGGTCCCATCTCAGTAAATAGAACCACTGTCTACTCACTTGTTTAGGCAGGAGGCCTGAGAATATCAATTTTTAATTAATTCCCCTTTCTCTCCCTCCTACTTCAATCACCCACCAAACCTCCTCAATATCTTAAGTCCATCAGCAATGGGGTTGTTCCTTACACTAAAGTTAGGTTCTAAAGTCAGCGTGTAAGACAAGAGTTACGTACGCAACATAACTTTGGAAATACCTTAAATCACTCATAAAATACAGCAGGCCTGATTTTGTGTGTATAACTCTGTACACAAAATGTATGTGCAAGTATATAGGTTATAAGCATGTATTATATATAGCAAGATACAGTATATAACAGGGTACGCAATATAACATCACCGTATTTTTAACCACCTACCAAAGAAATAGTGCCGGGCATAGTTGAACAGAATCGTTAAGCACATCCAGGGCACAGGGCATTGTATTCCTCTCCACTGCCTGCACCCTAGTCCAAGCTCCCACCAACCCTCAGAATTACTAACATGGCTTCTTAACTGGTTCTTGGCTTCTGTTCCTGGCCGTGTCCACTTTATTCCCGTGTTCCAGGCAGAATGAGCTCACTGGATTCATCAGGTCACTTCCCAGCTTTAACACCACTCATGATGTCACCCTGTTCCCTTAGGACAATGTCTAGAACAGTCCATATAGCTTCCTGTCTGTCCACCATCTGGCCTCTGCCCAGCCCCGGCCTTCCTCACACACACATCTCTTCCCACCTGTTCTCTAAGCCCTGGCAGAACCGGGCGGGTCACCTTTCAATCCTCAGGTGCTGGGAAGCCTGAGATTGGGTTGGAAAGGCTGAGAGGAGGATATTCTGAGGAAAGGGGCGTGTGCGGAAGTCTGCCTGCCCGGTTTGTGGGAATTCTGACTTCGGGAAAGCTCAGGGGAGTGTGGGAGGCGGCGCCCCTAATTATCTATAGACCTTTCCAAACAAGTCTGTGCAGGTGCAGACCCCCTGGTGACTACTGGAATCCTTATGCCTAATCTGGGTACACTTCCTTAAAAGACATTAGGGATTACCGACCTTACCGATTGTATCTAAAAGATAAACTTTATCTCAGACTGCTGTTACGATACCAGGCTAACGGGGCAGGCAATGGAGGCTGCTTGGTCCCTGGAGCCAGGCAGCCCCTTAGCCCTCTCTTTCACATGAAACTGAGTAATCCATTCAGCCCCACACTCAGGCTTTAATCAATAAAGAAATTTTTAAAAATAAAAAGAAATTTAAAAAAGAAATAAAGCATCGTGAAAAAATAATACGCATGTTAAAAGTGTGCTAAGCATGGCCAGGCTGGTGTGGCTCAGTTGGAGTGTGAGCACTGCAGGGAGGGGGAGGGGTAAATTCCATTCGGCTCAAGGCCTGTGCCTGGACTGCAGGTTCAATCCCCGGTCCGGGCACATGGGGGAGGCAGGAGATAGACATTTCTCTCTCACATGGATGTTTCTTTCTCCCTCTC